TTTTATTCCGCGACAGAATATTGTTGAGAATACAGTTATAATTTCTTTAGTTTTCTGAACATCCTAACTCCTAAAGATGAACAGCAGATACGAAAGATGTGGTCCGAATCCGTAATTTGTAATTATAAAGTTTGTTTCTTTATACCAGACAATTAATTATCGAGTTTATTAATAGGTATATTGTAATGAATGGAATCTTGATTATATTGATCAGGTCCCGGTTCATATTCGGCTATTGACACCCAATAGATGCCTTGATCATCATTGATCCCCTTCAAAATTTCATCACTCCCAGGGATTCAATACCAACCCCGTTGGGAACCCTGGTTAATATCAACGAAGCAATGCGTATTAAGTAAGGTATTGTTATCGATAACATATGCGAGTATAAACATATCAGTCACGAGTTTGAAGGGAACTGCATATTATTTAATACACAGGATGAGTCACGGAGCTTCGGCACCAACTGTAATTTTTGTACGATCGAAGTTATTGCAATGCAGTTTTCTCAGAAGTGCATGAGGTAACGGGAATAAATTAATGTATGTATTTGTTTCCATTTTATCATTTGTATTTTACGAGATATCAAGGTAAATATTTTTTTAACGGGATTATATTTATTTTCTAGTCTATCATGACGAGCGTGAAAAGACAAATACAATCATAGGTATATAGTCGTATGTTAGATCAACATATTTTGAGTATTTCTGAGGTTTTTGCGACTCGTATTTAACGTATATTTTGAATGTAACAGCCTACCAACTAAGGCCACACGCTCTCCCTCCTAACGTACGCTCGGGGCTAACATGAGTCGCAAGAAGCAGAATTTCTTACAAAAAAAAAAGATTTTATCTAACAAATAACAATATGTCTATTATTGGATTCGTCTTTAACGCTAATCATGATAGATTAAAAATATGTATAGCTCCATTTGAAAAACAAAAACAAAGTTACCTCAATTTCATGACATGAAATTAAGAGAAAAATAAGTTTTCGTGGTATTGTTCCCGAAAAGTGAAAGTGAATAGTAGATTGTCCAGAACCAGTGTATATTAGTCGTTACCTGATGTCAGCTTTTCTGACTATTTCTTTAAACTCTTCCACAGAAATTGGTTTCAAATTGTCCATTGATGTCTTGTCTTTGTTCAAAGACAATATTTCCCTCTAATTAAGAAGTCTTCTGTAAAGAATACGCAAATACATCACACAATCAGAGCGGCTTCGATCCTCAATATTTCTTTGCTTTAAAGAAAGTCTTTGCGTCCACAAACAATTTTTTTTTTAACAATTCCAAATGTCTCATCCAAGAAGAATTTAAATCGACACATAACTAATAACTCTAAAATAATGACAAATAATATTTTAGAAAATACCTCAAGTTCAAATATTGACGAAGACAATTCCAGAACCCACTTCACACTAGGGGTTTTCGTGTTTTTGTGAAATCGACACACGATCACATTTAAAATGCTGGTTGTCTCAGCTAGATACTTCGTAACCTGATGTTACTATGGAGAAATACACCTTTGTTGCTACTGACATGATGCAACAAAGGAAAAATATTTTCAAACTGATTTGTGCGCAGGTAAGAATTTTATTACTCGAATGATTAAACCATTAGGTTGTTCTGTTTGATTGTGCTTTTGTTGTTATCGTAATTTATTACAGATCATTTAAGCATGTATTCAATTTATGAAAAGTATTTTATGAAACAATTACACTAACTTTGATGTCTAAAGAAAAACTACGACCAAGATAGAAAAATTTTGGCAATGAAGTATATCCCAAGACGGCAATATTGCAGTTGAACATTGTCGAAATTAAATAAAATATAACACATCAGAGATGGCTTAAGGCTACATTTTAAAAGCAGACTAGAGAAAGAAAGAAGGTTATAGTAGTAATGCAACCAAATCAAATCAAGGATGATTTTAAAAAATTACAATATTTCTGCTCGGGCAATACGGGTCAGACAATATATCAGGTCGACACATTACTATATCGCTTGCAGCTTGGTTTTATGCATTTAATTATAAAGAAAATTATATACGACAAGAAATCACATGTAATGCATAAGAACTAATTGAACCCGTGAAAAAACATCACATCTTATAAATAATTGTTTTAAAAATGAACATTTCTTCGTAGTAGGACTGAGCTTTGAAAAAACATTCCTGAACTGTTACAGCATTAGAGGCCCGGAACTGTGCAACACAAACCATTCAGAACTACTAACGTTAAGATCAAACTACACAGTAAATCAAATGATATCTTTAATGTTGGTCTGTAATATTATTTATTTTTCCTTAAATTTCATTTTATTTAGATTTCGGTTTCCTGAAAGTTTATTATCAACCTTGCTTTGGAAATACCCTAAAGGACTCAATCTCGAAAAATACTCGTATAATAGAAAGTTCAAAAGGGTTTCTTTTTGAATATTACTAATTAGGACGCGTTTTTATTATCTGTCCCACGTCATGTCCCAACATTTCCTATCTATCCTCCCCCTGTCTTCCGACTACCTCCCTCCCTTCTCCAAAACTCGTGTCCGCACAGAGCTTACCTACCTTTGCTGGGATACGACAACCTGGTAGTAAGGGCTTAGGTTGTATAGTTTTCGAGATAAGAGCGATTAAAATGCGTTGCAGTAATCCATTTTTTGGACTTAATCTGATAACTTCCATATTTTTCGTCTACGTCACTTGGATACAGGAGAAATGCTTACGCAGAATAACCAAAGCAAAACACGAATAATCGCCTTATAGTGTTTATACTGATTCGCATACAAAACGATTAATAGAGCAATTGCAGAAGTGGAAGTGAATACAAATTAGACTGAGTTTGTGGAGTTTTAATCTCTTCAAAAATTAGGGGAGAAATATATGGAAGTGTTAAGTAAAGAGTAGTTGTAGAAGGTTATACGACAGAATTTTCGTAACTAATTGAAAATCGTCTAGTGTATTATTTCCGTACTATAAATAACTTTTGCGGCTCTTACATGCAACCTATATTTTTAAATGGAGCCTATGAAGAAAGAGAATTTCACGGAGACGAATTGCACTTTGACTTTAAAAATACGAAGTATTTGTTTTAAAAAACCTATCTAAATATTCATGTAAATGCAACCCGCAACACAGTGCGTTTTGTTTGCTAATTTGCTTGCGAATATATAAACATTAAAAGGCGACTGTTTTGTTTCACCGAATCCCTGCTGACAACAAAAATACTGGTAAAGGTAAAACACAAATCAAACTAAACAACCACGTCAGTCTGCACAAACCATGGTGTACACAAAAACGTACTGCCACTAAGGTAAATATTAACGTCGTAAGAGAAGTAAAAAACAAATTGTACAATAATTTTTGAAAAACAAAAGATTAGAGCAATATGGAATTTGGGTCATTTTATAGAGTGCATTTAGAACTATCCCTAACAAAAGTTAAAAGAAAAATTTGGAGCCGTTTATGAGAAAATATTTTTTGTAACTTTTTAAAATTGTAAATATTGCACACAATATTGCTCGAATACTACTAATATTTTCAAAAAATATACATAACCTTAATGAAAGAACTAATTATGGACAACAAATTTTATATGAAGGAAAAATCTTTATCTTTAATTTTGTAGCTGTAGGAAGACGCGGGACAAAAATCAAACTTTTTTGTTTGAAAATTCAGAGTTAACCATGAAAATCGGACGTATACCACTTTTATAAGTGTATTTTACTCTATTATTAAAAGGAATTTAAAGAAAAAAATGAGTTTTTTTGAAAAAAAATTTGAAAATCTCCGGGGGTAAAGTACCCCCAAATTTTGAAGTAAGTCTTCTACAACTGCGGTGCCTCGAGTGGAGCCAGATCGACCGGGGAATATCCATTTCGGGGGGAAAAATCGTTTGTATGGTTTAGGCGCTCAAGTTGTGCACTGACGTAGGGATAGACGTACAGAGGGCCCTACGGATGGACGTTTTACCATCAATTACTTTCTCGGTATCAAGGACGCAACTCTTTTGACTACACCTCTGGTTAGAATTTCTTTTCTTAATTTAGCAACTGCATTTATCCACTTTTTCGTCATTAGGCGCCCTAAATATTTTTTTCTGACGAAAATCTGCCGTTTTTTTGCGCGACATTTTATAACTTTCCCTATACTACGTACATTACTCCGTATATATGTATGTATACGGGAAAGTAAAAATTGGAGCCGTGTTTTATTATTATGTTAAATTTTGAAATATTGTGGAAATCGTTTAGTTGTAATAACACTTGTTTGAAAGGTCGGTAACAAGTTTTTGGTAGGATATTTACCTACAAATATCATTTGCTGTTAATTTTTTTTAATAGCTTAAGATTAATTTCCAATTTAAGTTTTTGCGTTTTGCGAGTTAAGTGTTAGAAGGATATTTGGTACAATACAATAATATTACTTAAATACTTGTACTAATTCGAGAAAGTACGTGCTAATGTAGCACAACTACTTCATATCAAGGACCCAAGGACTCAAGGACCCTGTTTTAATTACTCTACACATTCTAGAAAGTAATTTACTGCATGTAGGAACAAGAAAAGTCCACCTTTGAAGTTGAGAAAAGTTTATTGAGTAAAAAACATTCAAGAAGGAAAAGAAACTCTTCGGATATTCATTTTAAAAAGTGCAATATTAAAAAACGGAATTGAATGGTATTTTCAAATAAATCGTAATTTATTTTCATAAATACATATGTCACAATGCATTATGCATCTTGTATAGAGATAAGTAAATAGTGATAAGAAAGATTTTATATTTTGAAAATAAATATACAAATTTAAAGATGATTAATGTAGTGCCTTAAAGTGCTTTATTTCTGTCTTAATATCACTCTTGGCTTAGGATTAAATGGTCAAAATTCTCTTTCTTTTTCTTTCTCGTTAACTTATCAATTTTTCTTCAATTATATATTCTCTATTTCCTTCTTTTTTTCCTTATTTTTCTTTTGGCTTTTTCATTCTTCGGTTTTGATACTTCCAACACCATTTTACAACGTGAAATAAAGAATTTCCATTTGTTACGCAAGGCAACAAACATTTCACGAATGTCTAACAGCTCTGGTGTAGTATTTTCTCCAGGCTGAATGAGATTAATACAATGTTGTATTTGAATAAGAACATATATTAACATTCCTTCCAAAATATCTTCTCTTGGAACCTTCTTTCTATCTTCAAGGTTTGTAAGACGTTCAAAAAACGCCCGAAAATTCTTTGCCCTAAAAACAAAGTGTCAAGAAGTACAATAAATTTCACAATAAATAATATTCTGGACAAAATATTATTTGCAACAGGGATCCCCAACCTTCTCCGTTCATTGACCATTTTAAATGAATTGCTGGCTCCTTCGATCATCTTAAGCTATGTAACGCTACCCGAAAAAACGACGAATTTGCGGTAGAAAAACTCTTTTATTACAGGTCCCTGGTAACGAATTCGAGGTGCTAAAACAGCACGTAGCTTTTTCGCCTGTATTTTCACGCAAAATTACGCTAAAAGTACTCAAATTTTCGAAAGATTGTACATGACCTAATTTCAAAATATATTTAACGAACGGATTTCATTAAGGAAAAAATTTCTGTCACTAATATTTTAAATGCGGTAAGACTTAATTTGTGCAAATTTCGCAAAATTAAGGTTTTTAACGCACATGAGATCTGCACCATTCTCTTAAACGTCCTTTACACTATTCAAATTCTTCACACAACAACAAAATTTAATCAAAAACGATGGAGTAATTTTTTTGAACATTTGGAAAATGTCGCAGGAGCCTCTTGTTCCCGAAGGTGTAATTTACATTCAAAAATCTATTTTTTCAAAAACTGCAAAACATATTTTCGGCTACAACTACAATCATGAAGATAGTTTTTCTCTTAATGAAACACATTCCTTAAAGACACATTTTTTAAATAAGGTCATGTACGATAAAAAAAATCAGTATTTTCGCGTATTGGATGGAGTAATGTTGCGTGCAAATTCGGGCGAGAAAAAAACGTGCTAATTTTAACTGACTACAACATCTCTCCCGTGTGTAATGGAAGGGGCATTTTCGTATGCCATGGAACATCGTTGAATGTGTGTCGTAATTTAAATATCCTAAACATCCTCGGTAGTCCGCGCATCTAGGATGCCCCTATGCAGAAATTGGAAATGCGGGCTCTATCTGCAATGAAGAGCTTTAACCCTCCGGCTTGCGCGTCCCGCCATTTCCCGCCAGCAGGCGCGAGCGGTTCTCCGTGCCACGTTTATCTTCTTCGATTTCAATAGTCATTACTTTTATTAGGGAATGTGAAGGAAATATTCTTTATCTACGTTTTTGAAAATATTATTTCAAAATTACTAACTGCAGACCAAAAGAAATAACAATTGTAATAAGAATCAGATTCATCAATCGCTCCCTTCATGTCTTGGTACGTGTTACGTGTCCAGGAACGAAAATTGTAATTCTTGCGAACGTGCCTTCTAACGTTTCCTCGGAAACAATGCACCTAAGTTTGAATTAGTAGTAAGTATTCCAAACTCTGTGACAAAGCTCAATAGCAAAACAGCAGTAAGAATTCACATCAATAAAATACGCAAATATTACACTTCCATGACAAGGCGAGTACGGTAAGGCGTGTCGCAACCGTACCGTAAATTACTACACGTGTGTGTGTCATGTATTTTATTCACTAAGACCAACGAAATATTGAAATATCGAAAGTGCAAATATGTGTTTTGGGTGCAACACATTCCATATTTTTGGACTCAGGACGACACAAAATAATTTTACATATGTTCCGTGAGTCTGGAATATGAAATCAAAGATAATTTGTTAACCAAAAAATCCCGTCCCCTGCTACTACAAAATAAAAATAATAAATCACGAAATATTAGTCAAGATACATTTAAATTTTATCTACCAAATTCTGAATTTGATGAGATGGAAAATTAAAAAACAACAACTTTAATCGGCATTCAATAACTTATTTTTTATAATATTTCGTTGATTCTCCTCGCCTGTGTTCGTGCCTTGACTGTCATAGATAACTATAATTCTTTGTGTATTATTTCCGAAAAATACATTCTCGAGAACCATTTATTTTTAATTACCTGCGTTCAGTCTTATTGTTTTCTTCAGCAATGTCAAGCGAAGTATTTGGTGTTAAATTGTCCATCGATATTGTATTTCTGTTTACAAGAAATATTTCCCTCTATTTAACAAGGCTTCTCTGAAAAATACAGCAAACAATTAGAGGGGCTCCTTCGCTTTAAAGAAAATCTTTGCGTTCACAAACAAAACCATATAACTGAGAAGAACTATTAAAAAATTACAAATGATATTTTAGAAGATACCTCCAAACTTAAGTCCAAGTATTAACGATGACAATTCTGGACCCTACTTCCCTCTACGGGTACTGACGTTTCCGTGAAGTCTAGGCGCGATCACGTTTAAAATGCTGGTTGTTTCAGTTAATATCCAGTTGTTTCAGATATTACCATGGAGAAATTCTTACATCGTGGTTGCTACAGACATGAAACAACAAACGAAAGTATTTCCATACGGATGTGGTGTTCGCAGACAGGAATTTTATTGCTCGAATGATTACTGCACTATGTTATTCGGTTTTATTGTTCTTTTGTTGTTGACGTAATTTATTAGAGAACGTTTAGGCATATATTGAATATTAATAAGCAAATATTTTATGAAACAATTACACGGATTTCAATGTCTATAACTAAAAACTACGACAAAGATAATAGATCGGCAACGAACTATTACATCCCAAAATGGCAATTGATGTTGAACATTGTCGAAATTAAATAAAATATATCACACATTAGTTATGGCTCAAGGCCGTATTTTAAGAGAAGGCCAGAGAAAGTATGAAGATTATGATATTAATGCAACCAAAAACGGTCAAATCAGGCATAATAAACAGGTCGACAGATAGGCATATTACTGTACGTTTTACTTTCCTGTATACGTTTGTTACGGAGTAACAAACGTAGTACAGGGAAAGCTATGTTATGCTGCGGAAAATCGATTTCGAGGTTTCAACGGAAATACACGTTGTGGGGTCTCCAGTTACTGGGGCCTGAGCCATATTTGCAGGTGTGAAACTGGAATCTCAAAATCACTTTAAAAATATTTTGAAATCAAAATACTGCTTTGTGCGCTACTGTTACTATTCACACATCCACTTAAAAACTGAGAAACATTTATCTTCTGTGCAATTGAATGATAATTAACGCTGAAGACAACGATGACGACGAACCCCCAGTTTCCTTGCGAGGACCGGAATGCCATATCGCGACAGTGAACTTGAAATAAATATTCTAACCTAGGACGTTTATTACGTTTTAAATAAAAAAAACATTGACTGTGCACCTGTTGTAGAATACATTATTTCATACTCAAAGAATGCTCTTATTAAATTCCCATACTTGTATCATCCTGTAAATGACATATAGAGACAATAAACTATACTCTGAATGCACACCCTTGCTTATAAACACATAAATACATTTATACCGACTGAAACAATACCGTTAATTGTGTTCGTAAACAAGTCTGGACTATAAACACATGGCAAATTACCTTACATTGATGCAAACTGAATCAAGCCCCTGAACCTTTACGTAGAGCGGGTGTCAGGCGGAGCTACTGGCCCTCGCGGCAAGTCCTCGCGGCAAGTCCTCGCGGCAAGTGCTCGCGGCAAGTCCTCGCTGCAAGTCCTCGCGGCAAGTCAAGCCCTGCTAGCACTGACAGCATTCCCCGACTCTGCTTTGGTTTCCCCTACAATCCAGAAAGGAGTATACACGTGCAAGCTGAAGCGACGCGACGGGAGAATACGTAGCTTCATACGAAAATATGACTCTCAGATTTGTTATATCAAACAATCGAGATTTAAATTGTTTATATTCATTACTTATTACTAGTTCATGTTTATTTGCTTTTTAATTTCAGCTGCATATAAACTTTTTCGCCAGTGAGCAAGAATGTGTTTGAGTGACGAAAACGTTCCTTGTCGTTTTAGTTTGATTTTATTCAATTATTCCAGTTATTTATTGTGTTTAGAAATAATGGGAAATAAATTAACAATACTCTATAAGTTAACAATTCTCACTTTCGGGCGCACAGCTCTTTGAATATTGTTTGTCTGTTAAACCTAACCTGAACTTATGAAGTTATTGTACATACGATTACGAAATTAAGATACTTTCCATTCAAAATGTTTAATTTGAATCTCAATTGTCAATTTTAAGTGATGTATTATTTCATTTTAATGATTAATTTCTTTGCTTTAGTAAAATAAATTGGAATTAATAGAACTACTTTTGGAGAACTGACTTCTCGAAAAGACCTGGCCAAGTATCCAGAGAAGTACCAAACCCCACAGCGTTTTGTACAACCCTTTCTTTTAAATCTCACGCCAATTGTTCTAGTTGCAGTGCCCGCGAACCCCAGTGAGATACTGTTTGTAGTTACCTTGTTTGCGACCTTGACATATCTCGCTTAAAATGAATTTCTCATTTTCGCGCGCGAACTTCGCACGGGCGCATGACCTTGCTTGCTCTAGCGTTCGCAGTTTTGCAAGAAGTACTCGCTATCAAGGGTCGCTTTTCCGTAATGCCTTGATTGCCATTTTAAGTTGTGAAATTTAATTCTTAATTTATTTTACTAATACTACGCATGAATTTCCACAATTGGGTATATGGACCGCAAATACGATGGCGCGAGCGGCGTGGTTGCGAATAAGTTACTCTTATTCCAGCTTACGAAATATTCACCTTGCGAATTTGTTCACTTTAAATAAATAAAAAAGAGCGGACTCACTTTGCGAAGATGCTGACTGCCGTGACTTCTCCCGGCGGGCTCTGCTTGATGGCGGGTTGTCATTTAAGAGATCTGCCATAGATTAATTATAGTATCTTCCGTCATCAATGTGAAAGTTGTATTCATCTATAGCTCTGCGTTCTGCCACTGCGAAAAGCAGTCACCGCCGCTCGGGGTGCTATCTAGCGAGCGCTTGAAGTAAAACGAGAAGGCGGTCGTATCTGGACTGTATCCCGCGATCAAGTTTTCCTAGGCCATTTACTTCTATTTACTTTCCTCCACCAAAAGGCATACCCCGATTACATCTCGTTCTGTTTTCGTCATTATAACAATTGATTTCTGTGTTTCCCGTGGTCTGCTCAGTATCGCAATAATTGATTATAATTTATCCACTACTCCCTCTGTTTGTACGAAACATTTGCTCGTCCTTTCAGAGCACTACCAACGTTGAAAATCGCCGAGTAAACGTTTGTGGAAACAAAACATGAAATCACCAATCACGAGCAACTTCTTACACAATTCCGAAGATTTTGCCTTGTTCGCCTACGTTCGATGTTTTCTCAGGATTGGTGCGAGAACTTGCGCTATCTGTGAATGCAAACTTAGCTAAAATTTTACGTGCTTGATTTCTTAACCGCCTTGACTTATATAACGGAATGTTCTTGAGTTTCCGTCATTACAAAAACATCATTTAAATTGCCAACGTCTCGTCTTTTATTATGCCTTCATCAGGCTTACAAATAAGTGGATTTTTTTAATATACTCATCTAATACAATCGTCAAATAGACTAACACAGTTTTAAATAATTATGTATACGGCGTATGTATTATATTTACGGCGTGATATACAAAAGCAACGTGCTGAAATGGAAATCAGAAAGTGCAAGAAGGAACATGTTGGAAAGAAAAAAATGTGAGAATAGTGGATATGCCCGAGAGATACAGAGTAAAAATAGTATGTAAATATGTATACATAATTATTTGAAACTGTGTTAGGCTAGTATTAGATGATTGTATTAGATGAGAGTATTAAAAAACTCCTTTGTTTGTAGGCCTGATGAAGGCGTAATAAAAGCCGAAACGTTGGCAATTTAAATGTTTTTGTAATGACCGAAACTCAAGAATATTCCATTATCTAAATTGCTTACTTCTTCCGAAATACCAGGAGAACGAAATGCAGTCAACGAAATGCCTACTGGGGTAACGAAAAGTGAAAGGGAATTGGCTGGGAAGCGAGGGTGAACGAAAACTGATCCCGGGATGCAGTCGGGCGATTCGAGGGAATGCAGTTGTCGCACACGCCACTGTTATGAATTTCGGAAGTCCTGGGCCAGTGGCAACCAGCCGTCGAAGACCGTCTATCGGCGCCCGGGCGTTCGATCCACCGCTTTCAATGGATCCCTAAGCCCCAATAGTCTTTTGAACTCACTGACTTGAACTTCTTTCCACTATCCATCACATTCGCCATTCGCATCCACTGACATCCACCAAATAACCTTGTATAAAGTTAGCAGTGAGAAAACAGCGTTGAAACTTTTCAGAACCAGAAGAATTAATTAGGAAATTGTATTGGAGTTGTAGCTATTGAAAAACCGCGTGAACTTAGTACACCTTTAGTTATAAATAAACAAAAAATAATATTTGTTACAAGATTTTTCCATTAAAATTCTGATTTTTATTTCGCAAATATGGATGAGAAATACGTGCTCCACGTATGTGCTCCACTTATTACATTTACACACAGAAACAGCATTTCAGAAAATAAATGATTGATGACATTTCGTGTAATTACTTTAATTTAAAATATTCCTTTAACGAAGCAACTACAAAACAGAGCGGGGAAATTATATTTCTAATAAATTCAACATGTTAGTTATTGTACTCATACACAAGAAACCATTGAATAATAGCGGCAGAAATTCGGCGAGGGGGAAATAAAATTTATTTTCAGTGTTTTATTTAATACACACTATCACAAAACCACCAACCTGGATAGTCGAGGTCGCTAAGGATGAAGAGCCATAGCTGCCTCGTGTCTGAAGGGTCGCGGGCTCGAATCCCGCCTAGGGCATAGATGTTTGTATGTGCCCGTAAACCGAGTGTCTGTTAGTTCCCGAGGTCGCTATATGACCTTAGTAGTTGAAAAGCGACCTTAAATAAGTAAACAAAAAAATTAAAAAATTCTCAACATCATCAATGTCAACATCTGCTAAAGAATCCCCAGATGCGTTCATTTAAACAAGGAAAAGTTGTCTCAGGTAAGGGACATCGGTGGAGGCGGGCCCGTGTTTAGTTTGCCAAGTATTCAGGGGCAAATATTCCACTCTGTTGTACGCCGACTCCCCACTATCTGTTCATTGCCGAAAAGGAATATTTTATTATATATGGGTACAAGATGCCCATACCTTCAGGAAAAGGTCAACTTAGAACCTAGAAACCAAGAAAGGGCAACTTAGAAAGAGTTAAATTACTTCTGGGTTTTGGCCCCGCGCTCGTGTTTGGTAGGAATGGTAAAACGTGGCGAGTAAAAGTGTCACAAGTCCCAAACGTGAAGACCGGCTTAGGTGGCTCAGGGCATCAACTGATCATTGCAGGGTCTCTGACTAGGAGGTTCTAGAGTTCGAGTCCCGACGGTGGCAGGATTATCGACACTGGCTACAGAGCTAGGAAGAATTCAACTGCTATCAGGAGAAGAATCGTTGTGACATGTTCTCTTATCGGTAGTTTTCCATGATTTCTCCGACCAAGAGATGCCGGAGCAGTACAATAACAAACGGGTCACAGACCGCGCGCTATCTTTCCTTCCCCTTCTTTGTCCCATCCTCATCCCTTACTTACACACACACACACTAACATGCACTGTACTACCACACATTCTGGGAGTCCTATCGAGAGCTTAGAGCTTGTCTGGCCTGGGGCGGAGCCCCGCAAGTGGGAGATACCTGGTTAGGGAAAACCCCGCATAGCCAACGGGTAAGTCAGCGCCGGATTTCACTATCCAAACAAAGGAAGATCACCATCACCTCCCTCGACAGGCGTACTTACTTACACACAGGAATAATGATCATGGCAGTTGATCACGAAGTAATCAAATAAACAAGTAATCTACTAGCCCCGTAAATGTTCCAACTTACCTACACCTGCTCCTGCGAACAACTTAATCTGACTCTTCACTGCACTTGGTCCTAGTGCAGAATCTCTTACACTTCTCCCCATACTACGTCACTTCTTTTTTCTTTCTTTTTTTTTTGCGTAAAATCAATTAAACTTGCATCTGCTTCAGACATTCAGTAATCACTGGTGCGGCTGGACTGTTTGCATCCCGTGTTCTGAGAATTGGCCGGAAGATTAGTGCTGTTTTGTGGTGGGGAATATCGAACTCAGTGGTGGTTTCTCAAGAGAAGGAGGAAAGAAATATCCTCACGCATTTAAAAAAAAAAATTTTAAATTACCAAATAGAATAACTATTTCATTTGGTGTTTAAGGAAGAATATATAATTTATGAGTTGATGGTTGTGAGTAAATTGATATTGAGTTTTAAACAACGCGGGCATTTTAAATGACACGAAAATTAGCGAAATCGCTATCAGAAGGAGGTCCTAGTGTTTCTTCATCTGATGTAGTAATTGCTGCAGCCAGAAGAGAAAAAAGGGTTTTTAAATCAAATGAAGCCATATATTTGAGAGGACGACCTGCTCCATTGAACTGCACTCTAGAGATATCTCTTTCGTATGTTAATGCTTTGCAGGGCACGATTTTTCAGCCACAGGTGATTCATGTCTCACTCGTATATTACCAGGAGAAGTGCAGAGAATAGTGCCTATTGCGATCTGACACCGTGGGTTAGTGAAGGGGCAAACCAAACTGACAAGCCTTTCTCTCTCTCTGTCTTATCTTATCCCTAGTACTGTAATCTAATTTGTTGAATACGTTATTTAAAACGCTTCTTGTAAATTATATCATTTCTCCTCTTATGAAAAAAGCACAGATCGAATCATTGGTATACCCACATGATCCAAACAAACAAACCAATCAGCGACAGAAAATGAGTTTGTTTTTGAACTGAAAACTCCAGAAGTTTGGTATGATCTGTAATGTCACCATCTCTCTTACGGTGACTCGGCCATATGTGGTTACTACAATGTCACTTAGACTTATGGCATTTATAACTATTTAATTGCTAGTTAATTATACAGAAATATATTTATTTGCTCTCCAAATGTTTTCTGTTAATAATGTTTAACTGGCTTTGGATTAAGCTGGCTCAACCCCAATTAGATATTACAAAACAAAATATGTCACCATTTAAAACTATTTATTGGCTAATTATTTACACAAACATTCATTGGAATGCTCTCCAAGTTTTTGTGTAAATGAAGGTAGGTTGGTTCAGGTTGAGCGAAGGCAGTCACAACCCAACACTACAAATGTCATTATTTACAACTATTTAAGCGTTGAATTAACTGTTCAAAACAATGGTATAACTAAGTATAGAAAAAAGAGAGGGTAGGGATTACAGAGCTCCAGAAAGCAGGTGTAGATTTTACTTTTTTTCTAAACATCACATAAGATACAGGTTTTTTATGCTTTGGAAATAAATAAATTGATTGAAAATTGTTCATAAGTATCTCCAGATAATATGTAGTCATTTTCTATTCTTCACTGGAAAACTATTATCTTCTGCTTTACAACATCATGGCTAAATATTAAATACTAACGTAACTGTCATTAATATGATACATTTCATCAATAAGCAGTAGTAGGAAACATTTAACTCTGTCCAGTCCCTTTACTTATAACACCTAAAATATTGGTTCTTGTTAATTACTTTGTGATTATTAGTTCTGGTATCCCATTAAAGTCTCAATTCCTTTTTATGTGTATTCAAGACAGTGAAATATGATAGCCTTATATTTATTGTAATAGATTATATACTTACAAGGGACAGTTGAAATACTTTTACTAATATACTGATAAGCCAATAAATATAAATTTATGGATTTATGCGCTACATTGTACTCACACTAATTGGTAATCAGTTTTCTGCTTGCCTCAACTTCCTGCTGTTGAGTGAAGTGTCTGCATCATGTTGCTCAATTATTTGGTTTATTTCTTTAAATTATTACTAGCTGGATTCTTGTGAAATTTTGGCCTTTTTAAAATCAGTTTTAAAGTGAATATAGCTTTGTAAAGGAATCCAACTTCCAAATTCAAATGTTTCTGGTAAGTAATGTTTCAGGGTGAAAAGGTAGTCTCAATAAAATGTAATAGAATTTTCAGAAAATTTTCATTTTGTAGATTGCACATCTTGTATTCAATAAAAGATAGGAGAGCCTGATTTTATGAGACCATGATGCAACGTTTCTACTTTATGCCCAAAAGTGATGTGTGTTATGGATCATACCGTACGTTCACTTGTTTCATCCCTATATTATAATTTTTGAAATTCCTAATTTTATATCTAAATTTTATTGATGCATCTCTGGAGGATAATTTTCTATTCAGTAAAAGACAAAATTTGTGGTTTTGTGTCAGTAACAGCTGTTAATCTTATAAACAATCGCCTTTCATTGGTGTAAAGAGAGTATGAGCTCATTCAACTCCTTTAAAATTCTAGGCAACTTAATTCAACATTTGAGTTTATAATAAAACCCCTATAATTAATAAAACAAGATAAGTGCCTATTTTAATACTTAAAATGTCTGTTTTGAAAAAAAACAACAATTTTGAATGCATTAATATATTAATATTTACATTCTCATGTTCTTTTCCACAGATTAATTTTAGATGAGATTTAGGTGTTACCTAATCAAGATATTTCCAAATCATACAAAATTAACTTTACTATGTTCCCTGCTGTTACATAATACTCCAGGTGACTAGACAAATCTTACATAATTAATTTTGTTATTCATTATTTTGTTGTAAATAAATAAAATTAATTCTTGCTGTTTCTGGTTAAAGAAAAACACTTTAAAATAATATTTGACCTTTTTATAATACCAATTTTTCTCAAGGAAGTCTCTATACCCTAGTTCTTGCATGTAGCAATTTTCTTGTGAGAAAATATACACTAACCTACATTGAACACAAATGTTTTCTATTTATACACATATTTCTTTCTATAGGCTTCAGATTAAGGTAAAGTATTGTATTAGACACTGTTAGACAAATTGTTTTGACACAACATTTGTCAAGCTATTTCATTGCCTTTTGCTACTAAAACAAATTTAACTGAAAAATATCATGAATGATAATTTTTTAATTTTCTTGATGGTTATTAGATGTTGTAAAGGAAAGGAATAATGGTTGTTAAAATGGCAAACAATGTATTTCTATAACAGGTTTATTGAATATAAATAGCATCTTTCAGCTGTCTGCTCTCAAAAACTCTATGGGACTAGGTAATCTGGTTTACTAATATTTTCATGTCTTTATTAATAAAATTTTAATTTTGAATAATATAAGTCCAAAGATACTGGTGGCAGCAAATAATTCTTAAAAATAGTCTTTCCTATACATAGTTTTGGTACAATGTAATTAGGAATATGGAATAAAGGAATTGAGAAAAGTGTAAACAGATCACTGAATATTACAGAGGAAGGAAATAGTACATGCACAAAAGGTACTCATTCGAGTTGGACAAGTGAAATAAAAAATCCACAGAGTTGTGGGTTACACTAAATGTTTTAACAGTAAGTTCCTCTACGCATTCACACTCACATACACAATGCACTCTCTCTTCCATCCAATCCCAAATGCACACACGATACAAATATTGCATCTTCCTGAGACAGGCTTTCCTGGTAGACAACTCGACTGGGTAAGTAAAAATAAATTACAGCTCAATAGGTCTCTTGACATAGTCTGTTAGCTGCCAGGAACAAGACCACAGGGTTTTACGAGTCATGTAGTGAACAGGCACATTTCTCTACTCCAACATAATATCCAAGTATAAAAGGATGTAAAACTAACATTAAAATCTCATAACATTATATGTCATATTCAGATAAAATAGGTACATATTTATCTTTTCTTTAATGAGCGCATCTTTAAATTGTCTTCAAAAGAAGCTAGCAAATTTAAAATTTGTTTAATGTATCTTTATACATTCAAAATCAAAGAAGATAAATATGCCTAGTAAATGATGCGCACAGAATAAACATTTTTTTTAAAGCAAGTACCTGTTTCACATTCAAAGTGGCTCCGAGACAGATTTAGACTCTATGAAGAGATCTTGATCATGCTCTGCATGGTTTTCCATTCTGTACATAAGATTCCTGCCATTTATCTGAGATCCACGCAAATGTCCTTGCTATGTACACTGGATTATGCACCACCCACTTGCAACTAGGGTTAAGAACCCAATCAACATTCAACACTGTACGTCCCCATACATAATATACTATTATTCCACAAGAAATATATATATGTATGTATATATGTATAATATATTATATATTTATAAAAACATGCTGCCAAAGGTATGGTATAAGGGATGATTTAAAAGGTTATGGTGCTATCTAGGTCAATGTAAGCTAAGTCTACTGTACTGAACTGGGTACACGGTAACATTTCAATAACGTGATGGTAATCTTCTACAGTTTTGCATTTTTCCCCTTTTCTTTTCATTTCCTGTGCAATGTGCAAGAGAATGGAACAATGGTGGGATGTTCTCTAGTTACAGAGGAACACAAAACACAGACATTTATGTCTCTTACAACATGAAGCACATTGGGTATAAAATTGGAACACAGTAAACTTGAAATCATAGCAACTCCATTGTTTTTGTCCTCAGAATCCATATTTCACCATACTAGAATTTACATTAATGAACACTTGTACTGCAATCAAAACACCATGCATTGTACCTCCAGGCAGGTCCTTAACATCTGCATTCGAAGGAGTTACATTAATCGCAATTGCAGTTGATGCTAGTTACTTCTTGGCACATGATTCATTACTCAAGGCACTGCAGATCCTCGAAAATACACAACCACTCTCCACAGGAATGAGGCAGCATTGGTGTCTGCACTCAAGTCAGACGAGTTGAGATGCAACAAAATTCAAATAGAGAAGGTGAATAAAAAATTCAACCACAACAAACCCAAGTATATTGTGAGAATATTTTAACATATATTGTTGTTGAAAATAAAATAACCCACAACACAGCTTTCTCATATTCCATCACATCAAGAGTGGCTTAGTGTGCACTTTCTTACAACTGTCCTTTCAGGAAACGTTCAACAATGCACTTCCAGCCTTTTATCGCATTCTAACTTTGTTCGCATTACCTGCTAAGGAACGTTTACACAAACTATGAGAATAAAATAAAAAAGCTTTATCCCACAAGTCAGAAGGACCTCTGTGTTTTTCGAGATGCTGGCAGGCGGATGTCGGGAAGCTAAAGTCTGTGGTGTCTACAGCCCTCGACGTCACTTGGGCCTGCGGAAGTAGCGTAGCACGACGTAGCCCAGGACACGGAACAGAAAGAGGAACAGGAGCAGCACCAACGTGTTGGCCCACAACGGGAGGCTGGCCCCTTGGGCGTCCAGGATGGCCTGCACTGGAATGTGCTTTGTGCCATTTGTGCACGCGTCAAACTTGGTCTGCACTGCACACCTGTTCAAAAGCAACAAGAGTTGTTAGGATTTTAAATCTTTTGAATGACCCTAGAAATACATGCAAAAGTACAACTGATTTCTTTAAAAGAAGCTGTAGGCTTCTGCAGTTGGAGTCATGTGAATGATTTTGGTTGTCTGGGTGACGCCGCATCAAAGGCTGTGTTGCCGACATTTTGACCATCTTCATCATGGTCTTCCTCCTGTTGGCAGACCATGATAAGATGGCCGAAACATCGGCAACACATCTTTCAACACAGCGTTACCCGGACAGCAAAGATCTTTCACAACTTATTTCTTTCTTTGTATTGTTTAAATTGCTGCAGGATGATAAAATTACCATTCTTTTTGTGACTAATCAGATTATCTTTTGGTATCTGTCATTGGGTCTCTCCAGAATGGCTTGTTCATAGAGTGGCTTGTCTCTAATAATAACAATTAAATCACAAAAGAAGAATTGAACAATAAGTAAGAAGATGATGTAGATGTTGGGATAGAAGGCAAAGGAGCAGATAAACTGAGAGGAAACCTGTTGTCAACCTGCTTTGGGAATCAGACCTCCCACATGGAACAACCAGAAATTGAATTCCAATCCCATCCAAAGGTGGAGAATTCACATATGGTAAACTCCCAGTTGCCCTTAACAGTAGAACTGGTAGTTTTAATAGCATATCATCTAACTAGAAGCAGATTGGGATATATCACTGAGGAATAACAACTATCAGAGGTACTCTATGAACACAGCTGATATATTTTGTTATATGTGAACTATGTTTATTAAAAAATAGTTTACATACTCAATGAAATAATATTTTTTTAAATATCTTTTAATTTTCAAGTGTTTTTTGTCTTACGTGACACAAAATTGTTTCCAAATCCTCTAACACACAATCTGCAAACTGAAACTGTTATATTTCATGATAAAACCAATAAGTTTTCCCACTAAATTACGGAAGGTCCTACATACTTGAAAATGAATCCACTGATGCTCTATCGTAAAGGAGGAAATATATAAAAAGCATGACATCATACCAAAGTCCGAGTGTTACTGTCACAAATGATATTAAATGGAAAGAACATTACTCAAGTGTAGTGACACATTACAATAACCTTTTCTATCTAATAAAATATTGTTCAATAAAAAGTCAAAGAAATACTTCTGTCGAACTGATAATAACAGATGGGTAAAAGACAAATGGAATTCATTACCTTGTGAAGATATTAACTTACCAGGTAAAATGGTATTTACAAACAGATACAACAACTTGATAAAATTTTTTGAACAAAATTTTTAAGAGAGAAAGAAAAGCACTCACTCTATAGGTGCACCATCACTGAATTCCACTATCTGCATATTTTGATACGCATAGTGGACCATACTGAGATACTGCATCCATCGCAGCCATGGTGAAATATTTGTGGCCAAATAACCACCAAACAACTGAGTAGCTAACGTGTAAAGGGCACTAATGGTAATGGAGACCTGCATGTCCATACAAGACGCACCAATGAAGAACCCAACACTCTGCAACACAATGCAAGAGCACATTTTCATCAGTTACTGACTATTATAAATAAGATTATAAAATTACAAATACGATTTTCATCAGTGTTAGGAAAACGTGCACATATACTTCTAAGTCTCCCCTTTGACATAAATATTTATCATACTGGGCAATAATCAATCTTGGCGTGACACATTCATATTATAACATATTGAAAAAGAAATGTGTACATTATTATTACAATGCCAAATTATGTTTATTCTTTTTCCAGTGTTCAGGAGGAAAACTGTACCTATAGGATCAGGCTAATTTTTACTACTAATTTATACAATACCCTTTTTGCTGCTATCATGTTCAGGAATGGACATTATTTTCATCAATGAGCCCTGTAGAAAATTAGCAATTTCATTTTGCAATGAGATATGAGCATTAAAATTTTGAAAGCAGCTTTGCACCTTCAAGTTTATGAAGGAGAAAGGACATAGATGAAGTTTCAAAATAAATGTTCATCAGATAACGTGTTCAGAATGGGTGTAATTTTGTCATCAAAACCAAGATTTCAAGAGTTCCGACAGACTAGTGACAACAGTCTAGATAAAGGCCAGCTGCACCACAAGGGATACTCAATCACAATTAGTGAAAAAAGCATAACCCAATGAGTTGACAGATCAGGGGAAGAAATGTAAGTTAATAATAAGGTACTACAATAAACACACAAGGAGTAAAGTCAAATAAAATAAAAGGAAAAAGAAAATTACATTTACCAAACATGTTGTTATTGTATTAATAGTATTAATTAATTGAAAAGATATAAACTGAGTAAATAGAACATTGATTTAAAAAAATATTTTTCAGCTCTCATACTTGAAAATCAATACTTACATTCTCTTTTTATTGATTGGAAAATACATACTTTGCGGTATGCGTACGGCAAAATAGACTTTGCCATACACGTACCGCAAAAATGTTATGGCTGTACAAAACCACTGAATACTGCTCATTAAACAAAACTTGGTCAACATGAATCAACAAAGCTGCTGCCTCGAATATTGATAATGTTCTCAAGAGTATATATGAGTCAGTTTCCATGAATGCATACTAAAAATTAATACACGCAATTCATACGAAAGTGTCTTTGGCAGCTTCCTTTTAAAATGCTGGACTCTGTTCCCAACATCACCTCGATTGTTAACATTTTATTTGTATGCCAAAAACATACTTTCTGCACCAACTACACAAATAACTATTCATTGAAATCAACACCTTTCTATGACAAAAATAAAAATTCTTTTACCTGAGCGACAACTGTATTTAGAAGTAGAAATCCTAAAAGGGTGAGGAAGACCGCTGCACTGTGGAAGCCAAGCATGGGGTATGAGATGAGATGGTAGACGGCTGGCAGTGTTATTGTAAGGGGAAGCTCGCCCACCATTTTCGCTAGGTAATACGCTGACAAACGATATGCTCCTGATAGTCGCTCCTTGTTGATGACCTCTCGCTCAGGAGGGACTGCAAAAATAACAGAATATGAGTTTTGAAGCAACATTCCAACATCACATGCTGTTTAACACTCGTGATATGTAGGCTTGTATTCAAAAGGATGGCCTGGTGCACATATCCTTTCTGGCCTAGAATTGTTTCAACACTTTCCTTTCATTTTTAAATTATGAGAATTACTTAATATTATGTAAAATAAAAGAACTTATTATAAAATAAAATGTGATTTCCATATAATAAAAGATAATTTACAATTTACATTATCAGCACATTAAGCTTTTCCATAAAAATTGACTTTATCTATTTTGGCCCTCTTCTTAGGAATCTGCACCTGGGTTTGGGATTCTAAAATATACATTTTTGCAAGTATACAATGATATAACTAACTGTAAATCAAATGTCTAGCATATACCAACTGTAAAGCAAGTGTCTGCCTTCCTCTCTTGTCCTCAATAAAATTTACGTTATCACACTTATTTACTTCAAATTATTCTGTTTGTCTGTGAATGCACATTAAAAATGTTTTATTAAACATTTTGTCAGGAATTTTATTTTTACGATAAATACTGAGAATTTATATCTCGTTCGCAAATTTATTTTTCAAAATACAACTTTTACAATAGAGCTCAAAGATTTATCTCATCTCTGTCTGCCTAATCTCAAATGGAAGACAGTCACTATCAGTACATATTAATTTTAACAGGTTTCAGGACATTTGTTTTCAAAAGTAATGGCAAGATGTAGAAGAAACACAAAATAATGAAAATTTGATAGGGAAACAATTTTTTTCTTCCCTGCTTTTTATGAACTGCATGTCAGTACTTAATTAACTGAATCTAATACCACATTTATCTTAACTACTTACAGGAGGAGAGCGCTCCGAAATGTGCGAATAACATCCAGTACGTTGTGGAGAAGAACATCCAGCCCTGAATGTCATGAAGTGCTTCCTCCTTTCGCTCCAATTGAAACCACAAGAGGCCTGCCATTACACCTAGCGCAACCGTCTGCACCCAGTTCAGCTTCGACAGCATCCGTGGCCTCGCCTCTTGGAAGTTCCGTTGCGACAATACCTAAATCATACAATAAAGTATTTTTATCGAACCAAATGTAATAGCATTCAAGAGTATGGGTGGAGAGACCTCAAACTATATGTGCTTGAGAATAATCTTAATACATCACAATTTTTTGTTGATTGTGTGTATGAGCATAAAAACAAACATACACACACAACCTAAAATTCTATTTTCCAAATCTCTTCATTTAGCATTTCTGGGGGAAAATGTCAACAAATTCAAAAATTGAGTCTTCCAATTGGGTTTAGAGGCACAGAAAAATTTTTATTATAAGAAATAAAGTACCGGTACCTTATTAATAATTTCATTAGAAAGTCGAACCAACCTTGAACTGTGTCCAAAAACTTGTGGGCCAGTGCCAGCTCATGTCATCATCTGAACTGCTCACAGAAGATGAGGCGTAACTCTGGTTGTCTAAGCAGAGTTTCCCCTCATCGTTTCCAACCGTTACTGGAACAGAAAGAACTTATAACAAATTTGCTCACAAAATTATATGTTTTAAAGAAATACTTGTAAGAATAAAAATAATGGGGAGGGGGGGTAACTAAACAAAAAGTTCATATAAAAAAGAAGAGGCCCTTGAAACTGTTGAAAATATATCCTTCCCACTTACTTCATCATTAATCAAAAAATATCATTTTCCTTTGAATTTTACTTCAAAAAGATGTCACGTTACCTAAAGTAGGACAGGTTTTTTTTTTTTTTTTTTTTTTTAAATCAATTCTGCTTCCTGCTTAATTTGAACTGTAATTTGACAAGTCTATCTAAAAATTTTGGTACATTGTAAATTCCTTGATTTCATGAATAGCTCATTCCTAATATATAGTTCCATTATAGTGCAATTTTTTTCAATTTTATTAGTCTATTGTGGATTACAAATTCTTTATTATTCTAATTAAATATTTTCAAGTAATTTTTTATTTGAAAAATAATCCCCCTATGAGCAAAAGAAAAATATTCCATGTACCTATATTTGTTCATTTTATTCTATCGTACAATGAAATCTATGACAAAATTAAATGCATAATAGAAAACTCTACCATAGTGTATTATTCTGCTTACAATTTGTCAAAAAATATGTTTCAAATGTTTGTTCCTGACAAGTCTAAAATAAGTAAAACATATGCCTTTTATGGGTGCTGCATAACATAAGTTTTCATAATACTGTACCCCAAATGAATTCCAAATGGGACTCTAGAATCATTTACAGGACATTCAGCCAGTGCATTCCCTTTGAAGAAAATTTTCAAGCTTCCAGAACTGACCTAGTTTACTCCAGCAGAGCGGGCAAACTCTTCTGTTTTCTATGCTAGGGATCGCAAAATGCCTACCTATAGTTGAGTACACACTGTTCTGCGCACCTGTCTCCATCACAGCACACATTTTGACTGTTTTGGAGGGGGAAGAGTGTGGGGAGTGCCCATTCCTAGCCTCCGTCCACGACCCGCCTTGGCAGTGACAACCGCTGGTGCCAACGTTGCCTGGAGGACAGTTGTATCATCAGCACAAAGCCCAAAAATGTTGAGATTTCCTCATGAAACTAACATCAGTTTCTTAAATTACTCTGCATGAAAATTAACAAATTAAGGGAAAGAAGCAAGGATGAAAAAACAGATTTAGAACAGGGGTTGTCTCTTAACAAACATTAAGGTTTCACAAATGTTTTCATACACATTTAAAACAATTTTAAAATTTTCTCTCTCTTGCACTTCTTTTTTGCTTGCAGTTATTCTGGATTTGTATAGCCTAAGAAGCCAGAAAGAGAAATGTAATATGTAAGCAAAAATTTACAACTTTTTATTACTTTCCAGGAAATTTGGAAGATGTAAGTTGTAAATTAGTAAATGCAAGTAACTCTGAAAATTTTGAATTTGAATTTTCTCAATGATAAATAAATAAACATATTATTGATAATTAAAATGCAGAGTTTAAATCTGAATATATCATGACAAATTCTACTCCATAGAAAGAACTTGGCTTAACATGACCATAGAATTAGAAGTGTTAGTGGAAACCCAGAGGGACATATTAATTAATTACAAAATTAGTTTTAGCTCATGCATACACGAATCGGCGTACAAGTTCATTACAAGCATTATGCCTTGGTTGTTTACGAATCAAGGTCTGGAATATATTTCAGGAAGAATCAGATCTTAACACAGGTTTAAATTGACAAGAAACCACCAAAGATCAACATTTAGAAATTGCATCATTCTAGATAATAGATAAAGACTTCAACAATTTAAAAAATAAAAAACTTTCATTAAAAATGAATGTCGTTATAAGATTGTAACTTTGATCCATTCTTTTGAGAAATGTTCTTCTGTTATTTTATATATAAACTTTTTTCAGAAAATGGAACATTCATTACATTTCTTTTTCCTGATAAATGTGATTTGGAATTTGATAATTTTTTTTCAAAAGAGGCAGGTATCACTTTCAACAATATTTACATTTAGTAAGAGTAAAACTACATTATTCACAATTCCATGTTAATAAAATTTAATTCAATTTGTTAAATCTACTTAATTTTATTTGAGTTTTTGGTTATATTCTTGAATCACAACTAACAATATAACTACTGTAGGTTAAGATGGGGTCACAGTGTTATGAAAACTTGTGTCAAAACAGTCCAAGGAATTAATGATTAAGTATCACACATAAACAGAAAGGAATATATTTGTAACAACTAGAATGAAAGCCACCACTGAGGAATTGCAGAGAAGCAGATGAATTTGTCCCATCACTATAAACCTAAAGACCCAATGACACCCATAACTTAGAATAATTAGACCTACTAACCATTTGCTGGTAGGTGACTATCATCATATTTGGGCATAGTATATTTATCACAGACATTGACAGAGTTCGAGTAATACTCCGGTAGCAGCTCCTGAGGATAGTCGGGTAACCTCCGGGCATCTTTGGAAGCTGCAATTATCTTCTCCTTCATTTCTTCACTGCCTTTCACTTGTTCCACTGAAAGCAGCAAAATTTATAAATTGACAGGTTATAAACACAACTATCAAGAACCGTCACAAACTAAACAATTGCTAGGGTCTGGTTGGCTGGAAGGCCCCAATTTACAAAAGAAGTTCACCAAGATAAGAAGAATTGAGTTTGATAATAAAATTTTTGGTTTAATGAAAACAAATATTATTTTGAGTTTAGAAAAAAACAAATGTTTTCAGTAATATATTTAATACGTATAACCTTCTGAATCAAACACATATCCTAGCCTTCAAAACTGTTTTATATTGGGAAAGCTGAGAACAAACTATAAAGTCATATCTACTAAATGTATGACCTAATTCTCATTGCATCTATGAGAGAAATCATAAAAAGTGCATATTTGGATTAAGCATATAAATTTAGCATGTATAGTATGTACAGCATATATAATTAAGCGTATATTAATTGCATATTTGGATTGGAAATGCTCTCGTGGCTCAATGGCGAAGTCACTTGCCTTTCACCACTGAGGTTCCAGGTTCGATTCCCATAGAATCTCATGTAACCCCCTTAGAATCTCATGTAAAATTAGATATGACAAAACGAGTTTGAATGCTTGAGGCTAGTCCAACCCCTGTGAAGTCTCCTAAATCCTTCCTAAGATTATGAGGCATTTTCTGCAGTAACAACATGGTTAAATATGTCCTGCCCCAAACTCATTACAATCCTGCATTTCATCATCTCTCTTCCTTTTCTCAGCTCTCTTATTGATCGTGGCTTCTTTACTGATGTTCTGTATATTTTTTCCTGCTTCAATTAGCTATTGGTGCTCAATGTTATTAAGGAGGCGTGGCCTCTGAGAGCCATTTTCAATCCAATTTTAAAGGCATTTAAGGTCCCAAAACGTAAAAATATTATTTTGGCTTAATCTAAGCACTATTGCAAATCAAATTACATTTAAAAAAATCAATTTTTTTCATCCTAAACTCGTCCAGGTGTCTTAAAAGAGCCGAGTTTTTTTTATATTAAAATAATGTCAACCTAAAACAATTACTTACATATGAAGTCAGCTGGATTATATTGAGGAATCACAGTTAGTCCAATGTTATTGAAGAAATCAACAACTTTGCTGACTTCTCCAAAATAGGCGGTCTATAAAAATAATGGAAAACATACACATCAGATAAAACCTTGTATTTGCATCTAAGCCAGATTTTTTCACAATGTAAATTACATGCATGTTTACATTTCTGTTAAAAATATATTATAAAATATTGAGAATAGACAGGTTGTTTAGAAATTTTTGAAAGAAATTGAAAAAATTAATTAAATAAAAAACCAACTGCTCAATTATTATTGTTGCAGCATTTTTTAAAGTACTGAATTTTAGGTCTAACTTTCAATGGTAAAATATTTTGCTGACCTACACTGGAATAGGTTCTCAGAATGTTAAAAAAACAACTATTTATATCATTTATATTGTTCAATCACAGGTAAACCATTTTTTATTAGAATGTTTGTAAAACATCCTTTTAGAAAGAAACTTAATGGCTGAAATATGTGAAAAAAATCAACAAAAGACTTAGAAGGCTCACAGTGTTACATACCTGACCATTGCAGAGTAGAAGTAGTTTATTGAACATATGGAATATCTGAGAAGAAGGCTGGTGAACTGTCACCACGACTGTCTTGCCTTCTTTTTCTGCGTACCGCTTGAGACAGCGCATGAGACTGTATGCTGAATGGGAATCCAGTCCTGACGTAGGTTCCTGTACACATCAAGAAACATTTGAAATAGGCACAATGAAAACAAAAACAAAAACAGCTTGGGTTACTTCCTTAAACACCTACAATTTTACAAAATCTCTTTGTAAGAATCTTCTACTAATTATTACATTAATTACAATACATTTTTATAGTAATTTTATTGTATGTCACAATTAATATGAAAATAAGAATAAAATTAACATAAATTTGAGTGTTTCAACCTACAACCAAAGAACTTGATCAAAGAAGGAGTCATGAAAATTTCACTTACATCAAGCAGCATGAGTGAGGGGTTTGTGAGCAGCTCGCAGGCAATGTTGGCCCTTTTCTTTTCACCTCCTGACAAGCCTCGCTTCATGTAATCCCCAATGACTGAAAAAAAATTAAATGGATATGCACATACAATTCTTTCTTTTGACATAACAGTTACCCCACATCCTGACACGCGAAGGAGATTTTATAATCAATGGAAGACGGTACCCGAGAGTAAGGGCGATCAACCCATTGGTTGACCAAAGAATGAGAATAAGGTATCAATGGAGAATGATCACAGACCATGACACTTTTGGGCTTTGCTCTGACATCCACCAGGAATTTCCCCCAAAATATTTTAAACAAAATTTAAAAATAATTTTAACTACTTTATTAATGATAACAAAAAGCAATGAAATGTATTCATATTGAAAAACATAAACTAATTTTTTTTCTAGCTCTAAATCTCTCTCTTTTTAAAAAAAGAAAATTAGTTCAAAAATATAAACGAAAATGATTCTTTTTAAACTGACATTTGTATGTATGTATATATTGTATTTTTATTCTAATAACGTTATAATTTCAAGGATTATTTATAAAATGATTATGCAATCATTTTGATCACGTATGTCCAATGTTCCAAAACAATTAACGGGTGCCCGTTGTTTGGTCTGGCGAGGGGCGCCCGTTAGTTGTTCACCCGGCCGCGAGGAGCACTCACTCGTGTCTTGGCAGGCGGTGAGGTCGAGCACGTCGATGATGTGGTCGACGCACTGCATCTTCTGGGCGTGCGACAGGGTGTCCGGTAGCCGCAGCCGCGCCGCGTACTGCAAAGAAGAACCCGCACTCGTGAGAAGAGCAAGCAAACCACCGTTTAGTATACTAACGCATGCCTCCTCACCATTTCAATTTTAAATATAGAATGTACTACTAGTGTTAAATTTGATGTAGTGCAAACATAATTGATATGTATTATTCCAATTATTATTATTATTATTTATTATTATTATTATTATTATTATAAAGTAGTAGCATTAATAACATCTTAAATGTTAATTATTAGCAATAATTTATCTACTGTATAATATCTTAATCAACTGTAACACGTATTGTATTTCTAGGCCAATGACCCCATCTCGATCAGGTTTTTTTCAGTTTCCCTGGTCCTTTGAGCAACTGCTGAGACGCCCGTGTTTTGCTGCTCTGAACAGTAATGTAACTTCGCTCTCTCCACCCAAGGCATCATAATGATCGTCATACACGATTGTAATTGTATATTGTGACTCAATAAATATTATTATTATTATTATTATTATTAACACTCAACTGGGGTAACTATGACTAAAACAGGTCGTGAGGAGAGTAAGTGATATTATCCGCGCTCGTTTTCTTGAGTCCTTCATTTCGCTAGAGGCGAGAGGTTTGGTTATTTTGACGACGGGACTATCACATCAAAACCGTAATTCGTTTTTCGATGCAAAATAGTTTCTGTTACACGGGAGCGAATACTTTAGCTGTAAAATGGAAATAAACCTATCTTCGGATTTACAGGAAGGGAAATAAGGGAAATCCCTCCCTCCCACACTAAAATTTGTCAGCAACTATTAAATTCAACTAGTCACAAAACTTAAAAAAAAAATTATTTTTTTTTTAAAAACAAAATGCTGGTTGGTCATTGAAAAGAATCAAATCGTATCGCAGCATGAGCTGAAAGTAGCCTGCGTCATTTTACAAAATCTGTAATATGACAGATTTGACCAAAGCGTTTTGAATTTCACCTCCCAAAATTCGTCTTTGGATCCGCCCATGCTATCTAGGATTTTATTTTTCACTTGAAGGAAGGGAGTCCCAAGATGAATTAGAGACGGAAATATGTAAACTTCTTTATTTCATGATCCACGTCATTTTTGTTTACAACAGTATCGGGGATTGATTGTCTCCATCATCCGGCAAAAACTAAGAGAGTGTGAGAAAAAATAGTACCGTCATGCACTGGCACGTGACAGTGCGTAACTCGGTCTAGGAAAGTGTAGTGAATGAAAGAGAGGAAAAAAAAAAAAAGAAAAAAAAAAGCAAATACTTATAGTTATTAAATTTTGACAGCGTTCGTTGCTCTTATTCATTTTTCATTCAACTAATATTTGTAAAGGAGTTGGGGAGGTATTTCGGGGCTCAAGAAAAAATTTGTGTATAATACTATGCTCTGGAAAGAGTATAGTATTATACACATACGTTTTCTTGAGCCCCGAGTATAAACTTTTTTCTGAGCCCCCTTTTCGCTAGATGCGAGAGGGGTTGTGTATTTCGACGACCGTTCTATTATATCAAATCTGTTGCTCGTTTTTCGATTCGATTTGTATAAGGGAGCGAACTTTGGGGAAATTTTTTGTCAGCAACGCTCGTCACGAACTTTTATTGTTAATTTAACTAATATTAGCATAGACGCGAGTGTAGGCATTCCGGGGCTCAAGGAAATGTGCGCGTGTAATTTGTATTCTCAATCACCACTTTCGAGCTTGGCTTAGAGTAATTTGCCATTGGCCAAACCTATGTTAAAAAGCAGTGTTTCGATTTTGCATTGTTTGCAACGTTACTTTCTTGCTTTCCCGACAAGTAGGTCCCTACTGATATCTCGGCAATATAATGATTTCGATATACTATGAAATTCATTTCTCATTGAAGAAAAATGCATATCCTAGTCTTTCAACAACAACTAAATACCCAATAGCAATCCTTTAAACAAAAATTCAACGTCTCATTAGTTTAAAAAAAAATCCTGAAAATCCTTTTAACACACGTTGCCAAACAACACACGTAAAGCGAGGCGAGAATATATAAAATGAGAATATAACTGTCTTTTCAGAGCCCCACATTCGGCCTGAACATATCGCACATCGCACACGCAGAAAAATTACAGAACTGAAAAATGCATGATTTTTGCTCGCTCCGTCCGCCCATTTCTCTGTCTTTCTCCTTCTCCTTCCGCCTCTCTCTTTCTCCCTCATTTTGACCATTTCCTCCATCTCTCTCCCTCCTCTCTCTTACCTCCCTCCGTTCCACCATCGCTCTCTTACCTCCCACCATCTCTCTCTCCCTCCTCCTAACACGCATTCCTCTCTCCCTCCTCGATCGCTCTCCTCTCCCTATCCGCTCTCTACCTCCCCTCCTCTCTCTCCTTACCATCCTCTACTCACTCCCACCCGATCGCTCCTCCCTCCCTCCCCCCCTAAAAACATCTCTCTCTCCTCCTCTTCGATCGCTCTCTCCCTCCCTCCCTCCATCGCTCTCTACCTCCCTCCCTCCATCTCTCTCTCCCTCCCTCCTTCGATCGCTCCCCCCCTCCATCTCTATTAATCCCTCTTCCCTCCCCGCCGCTCACCTCAAGCGTCTGCCGCAGCGTGAGGTCCGGGAAGAAGATGTCCTGCTGCAGCACGTAGCAGATGCGCCGCTTCCAGCGCTTGCTGAGGCGCTCGCGGTTGAGCCGCACCCAACCGGCGTCCAGCTTGGTGCGCCCCGACAGGCAGTTGAGCAGCGTCGTCTTCCCGCACCCTGCGCACGCGCTCACCTCAGCCACACCGCAAGCAAGCAAAGGGATGAATGCCTTATTTTACGTGGCGAGACTTTAGAAAGAAAGAAAGAAAGAAATCGAAGAAAAAGAAAGCAAACTAAAAAGGAAACGGTAAAGAAAAGATTAGGAAGGTAAACAAAAAAATGAAAGAAGAAAAATAAAACAAAAAAGGAAAAAATAAGAAAGAAGAGTAGACGAGAAGAACGAAAACGAAAAGAAAAAATTAAGAGAGCTGGATAAAAATACAAGTCCATAGCACTGGGCTAAAATTTTCCCGGGCATAACAAAACGACTGGCAAAAAGTAAGGATTGTTAAGAAATTCTATAGTGTATTTAATCAAATAATCATTTCAAGTGCATTGTTTCTGTTGAATGCTAGTTACTGCTGAATGTGTTGAAATCTTACATCACAATCTTATTTTTCAATTACGTTCTATAAGTAAGGAATAGTACACAATTCAGTAGGTACATTCAAGTTCAATTAAGTAAAGAAAACTGAAAATTCTTCCATAAACATTCTATTTAAATCTCGCCCCAAATCTTTCCGGTTAATAAACACCAAAATAGGAAGACAAACTATGTTCATTTCAACAGATGCAACCTGTATTTTGGAAATAAATTCTTGGATATAATTTCAGATGAAAACACCAACATGTTTCTCAAATATTATCAGTAAACAATTCCTTTACCGTTCTGGCCCTAGAAATAGGGGTTCCCGCAGAAAGTGTTTTTTTGTAATTTTGCAATTTCGTCGCTGCCGTTGCAACACTGCAACTTTATACACATCTACAAGACTCGAATCATCGTTATAACCTCTGAAAGCATTAGTCGTGAAAGGCGAGCGCATTGCAATACTGGCGGCGGGCTGGCAGACTATGGGACTGCCGACTTACAATCGGCCTGCGCGCGATTCAGAACTGCCGTAACGTGCAACCCAACTCCGTCATTTCAGAAATTTGCATTTCTTGTCGTCTGTTTCCGAAAAAAGTAGATTTTTCCCTTCGTCGAATCTTAGTTCTATGCCCAACGATTAACACGAAGCAGAATTTTCTACACGGTATAGAAGAAGAGAAATCTTTAAGAAACTACGGCGCTGAAAAGAAGCGTTTCTCAGAAAACAGCCGAAGGAAATATTTTAATTTATTTCTTATTTAAAGTTGCTTTTCAATTGCTCTGATCATATAGCAAGCACTGTAATTAAACATTGGTTTTAAAACTTTGAGGTAACAGTAACGTAACACGCATAAGAACACACGAACTTCGACATCAGTTGCAGGATTCGAACTCGCGACCCCAAGCCAAGGCAACCAAGGCCTTGCAGTCTACGCGCCTTCGGCTATCCAGACCAAGGGAAATGTTTGTTCACCGAATTTTCGAGAAAACGTTGGTGTATTTTTATTCCATCTGAAAGTACCCATTCTGTATGTTGGAGCAAGACTTTTTTCTGTATACAGGGGCGTGAAAGGTGTGCCTTCCAGGGTAGACATTTTCCTTGTATATACGTAAGGAGGCATAACTTTTGGCTGAGATAAAATGAGTCCATCAGTGAAATAAAAGGCCACGTCTATTATGCTACATTTCCAGAAAATAAAATACTAAACACTAAAAAATAACTGTAAAAAGTGTCTTAGAAGTACACTAGTATGCCTCAAAGTAACAAGGCGAGCTACATGTTTGGAAACGTCTCATTTTTTTACTGACACTTATGTTCTGGCTCTCAGAACCCATGTATTTGCAAATACACCAAAAGTGGACATGGCCCGTTCTTTTTTTTATTTTTAAATTTTGTTTTCTCTGAAGTTTGGCACAAGTCGACGCAGAATAGCTAAGACGTTAATTTACAGCTGTCTCTGAATCACATGTTAAAGATAATAGGAAAATTTGTTAAAAAATACTCTGGACAATATAAACTCCAGGCGTCAAATTCTAATCGCTTACGCGGTAGAGAGAACGTTAAGCAATGCTGCGCAAATAAAATGGCACATTTTCGGCAGGAAATAAAGCTTATTACAGGGCTCAAGGAAGGAAAATATAAATAAATTTGCTAAATTTAGAAAAAAGTTCCTAACATGTGGTGCATCCTGAATCAGTTTTGTGGGAGGTTGGTACCGAAAATGTGATTGACGAGAAAACGTCTGTCTGTGAATAACGCTAGCGGCTAAACCGATCAATCTTCTCGAATATTGAAATTTCCCGGAGTGATCTGGCTGATGCCATGGTCCTTCGAATTTGAAACCGATACTTTAATTACATCTAGGGAGTACTTTACATAAAGCCCCTGGAACATTTCCAAAGAAATGGCACCATCGTTTTTTTTTTGGTCGTCCTCGGGGGCTCCAATATCTACTGGGGGCACAACATAATAAAAGATATTATTGCGCTGGCGTACTCACCCGAGGGGCCCATGACGGCGAGCAGCTCGCCGGGCCGCACCACGCCGGACACGTCGCGCAGCACGGGCCGCCGCGCCACGCACACCGACAGCCCGCAGAAGACGAGCTCCAGCGGCCGCGGCGGCGCCTCGGCGCCCGGCAGCTGGATGGCGGCCGACGGCGCGCTCTCGAGCCTGCGCACGCCCACGCACCACCACGCTCAGCGGACGGCCGCAGCACACACCAGCCACGCTCTCCCCCGCCACGCGCCGCACCAGCACACAAGACGGACGTCATACAGCCGCAGCACACTCAAAGACGACAGCACGCGCGCCTTACAAGTTCATCGAACGTACGCCAGACAGCCGTAGCACACACAAGCAACGCTCACCCCGCCCCGCGCCGCACAAGCACACTCAACGTACGTCAGACCGCCGCAGCACACAGGCAGGAACACAAGCACACTCAACAGACGCCAGCACGCGCGCCTTACAAGTACATCGAATGTAAGTCAGCTCCCGGCACATGGGCGCACTCAACAGACGTCAGTACGCGCAGCCCTGACCCCGGGACTTACAAACATACTCAACCTATGTCAGACAGCGGCAGCATACAGACAGAGTTGGTTTTTCAAACAGATGTACGAGTTAAGATACTTGCGTTAAGTGGTATTAGAAAAAAAGGAAAGCTTACGTGATGCGGCCAAATTGACGTAATTTGCTCTCGAATTTCCATGTTCCAGGCGGAGCTCCGACCTAACGAATATGCCTGAGTCAATTTGGTTTCAATACGCCATAAAAACATTACTTTTCTTCATTTAGGGACAAGAAAATCCATTGCTAAGGACCTAAATAGCATCGTTTCCCTGTTTTGAGCGATGGTCAGTTGTGTTGGTCACGTGTGAAGTAGGTTTCATGTGCGCCTGATTGTTCCCCAAGCAATTGTCTGCTAATTTCTATTTTGTTCGCTTGAATTATGTTTGATGCAGGTCTGAGAGGCAGTCGTTCTCCTGTAGACCTACGGAGATTTGTAACGATGTACGGTGCAAAAGTATAATCTTTCTTTATAGCATATTGCATGTATATAAAGAGAATATCAACGAAGGTGATCGATTGATGTTTTCGGGGCCAACTGCTTCGGTCTTCAGTGTAATGAATGTTTTGTCCCATGTGGTGGCGGTGTCCTCTCCCGCTGAATGGTGAGGTGGTTGGTTGGTTGGTTGGTTGTTAGTGATTCCGGGCGCGCCAACAACTGAGGTCATTAGTCCCGTAAGCGTAATTCATGTTTTTTCCCTCGCTGGGTTGAGGAGATTTTACCCCTCTGGATGGCGAGATACGGCTCCGACCTACCGTTGACTATCGGAGTTTTGCAGAAAGCAGATATCTCCCACCAGTGGGGCACCACCTTAGCCGGGACAAGCTCTAAGCTCCCCAGTGTACTAGTGTGCTAGTGTAGTGAATGTTAGTGTAAACGTGTGAAGATAAGGTGTAGAGATAGGAGAAGGAAGAAGAAGGAAAGATTGCGCGCAAACCATGGCCCGTTGGTTAGGGTACTGCTCCTGCATTCGACTAGTATTGATCGGAGAAACTACAGAAAACTACCGATCAGGGTAGCCGGCCGCTAGAATTCTTCTCCAGACAGCGCCTGAATTCAACAAGCTAGGTCGAAAATCTTGCCACAGTCGGAACTCGAACCTAGGACCTCCCGGACAGAGGCACTACAGTGTCTTCAGTTGATGCACTGAACCACTTCTCCCGGTCCGAATGGTGATATCCGGTGACGACCCACACATCAGCTTGCAGAGAATTTCGCCCTCCAGGAACCCCCCCCCAAAAGGGACAAACTCTAAGCCCGGGACTAGCCTTTCGGCACGGCGAGAGTAATGCATCTAAGTATGTATTTGTAAGTAAGGATATAGAATAGGAAAAGGAAGAGGGAGGAAAGACCACACGCGACCCGTTCCCGCTTGATGTAGTGTTTCTCGGGCATTCACCTGGCACTGATCGCGGAAACGCACCGATCAGAGCAGCCGACCGCCTGAAATTCTCCCCCAGACAGTGGCTGAGTCTAGCAACTTAGCGTCGGAAAGCCTCCACCGCCTGGTCTCGAACCCAGGGACCTCCTGGTCGGCATGTCAAGGAGTAATTAAACTTGCAGCGCGCTCGGGGGCGCGTGGAGCAGCTCGCCCCCACGGGCATTAGCATTCGGCCGCGCCGCCCCGGGCGGAGGTGTCGCCCGCGCTCGCGCCGGGGTCGTGACCCGTCGCTTCATCCGCGCCGTCGCACGGACAGCCCCTTCCCCCCTCCCTCTCTCCCCCGGGGTGGGGGCGCGCGGAGCGAGAGTGGCGGAGGGCGGCCGTATCGACCGAGTCGCTCGATGCTGACAAAGGTCGCGCCGGGTCGACGACCGGAGCACGCGCCCGTGACGTCACGTCCGCCATGGTGCGGAGAGGGTGGAGGGCGATGAGAGTGAGCGGCGCGAGGAGGACGCGGGTTGGGAGAACGGTCGGATGAGTGCATGAGAGGGGAAGGATGTGGGGAGGAGGGTTAAATGAGAGTGGCCTATTACACTGACTGGTTGGTTATTTTGTGTTTTTTATGGCCGTTAATACCATTAATGTTCTGAGAGCTGTTTATCCTTACTAGATCGTGAGATCCGGGGCCGACCTGAATGTCAGTTGGCGAGCTTCCTTTCTACGTATCTCTACCATCGGGGCACTACTAACCTAGACAAGACCCAAGCTCCAGACTCGTCTCCCAACAAGTTTCTGTACCAGTGTGGTGCATGGAAGTGTTTGTGTGTGTGTAAAGAGAGAGAAGGAAACAAGGGTGAGGCAAGAAAAAGTGCGCTAGTTCCGTGGCTAGGGTACAACTTCAGCATTCCCCTGGCTTGGAAAGCCGTGACGAACTACCGATCAAAGCAGCCGATCGCTAGAACTGCCGATAGTGGCTAAATCCAACCCGCAGCTACCTGCTGAAAGTTCACACTTTCCTGGCCTGAACCCTACCACCCCCTGCCACTCGGGGGGGCAATGGTTCCCCGGAGCCAAAGGAGCCTGTCAGTTGTTAGAGTAAGAGAACAAGGGTGTTGAGATTGTATTTCTACAACACGCGCGTTGCAGGTTGATGAGAAGATTGGACATAACGGCGTGACTGAAAGAAGGGCGAAATCGATCCGGGAAGAACTGGTTGGAAGTGTGACCAGAGGACGGCGGAACGACGAAACACTGGTGAAAGAACGAGGGAGAGACATGGAGCGAGGAATGAGTGAGCAAGCGGATAGAGCAAGCGCGTTTGTGAAAGTCAGGTAAATGCGGCGGAGGTGTGAGAGTACGGGGGGGCAAGAGAGTTGATGAGTGATTCTTTTGTGTTACGGGGTGCCTCAACCACTATGACATTTGTTCCGTAAGTGTAGTGCAAGTTATACTCCGTGGTCGGCGGTCTTCCTCCCTCGCTGTTATGAGATCGACTTCCGTCAGATGCGAGTTTTCCTCTCCAGTTATCTCCTCCATCAAAGCAACGACTCAGTTGGACAAGCTCACTATCACTCTTGGGACAATATCTAGTCTTCCGACGGTCTGTCTAGTGTGATGTATGTACGTGTAAGAGTGAGAGGGGAGAGGAGGGTACAAACGAGAGCACAAACGTTTGAAGAGTCGTTACGACGAGAGCGCGTGGTTGGGGCGAGATAGAGGAGAAGAGAGCGATATACATGCATACATACATACACACACACATTATTTATATAATATATGTGTGTGTGTGGGTGGGTGGGTGAGTGGGTGGAGAGAGAGAGGGGGATGAGAGAAGGGATAGGCGAGCGAGAGGGCAAGTGAGCGAGCGGAGATTAAATGTGGACGTCTGGCAGTGGGCGGGAAGTGGCAGGAAACGAAAGGCTTCGCGTTACGGAAGGCGATCGGAAGTTGGGGATTTGCGCGTGAGGGTTGTGGGACAGCCGGGTTCTACGTCCGCGGACCCGCCCGGCTGGAGGGGTGAACGGAATCCGGGAGAAAAAAAATCACGATAGAAGATACGAGAACGTTTTTCCAAACATTCTCTCAACTCAAGTGCTGGAGTGACTTGGTAGTCCCGCATTACACAGGAAGCAACGATAGCTTAGTCGCAGTGTCAGCTAAATGTGGTTCGTAACATCGCTTTTGATTTCCAATTAATTAACAAGCTGCAATTTGCATTTTCTGTACAACCCAGAAGCTGATTGCAGCAAACCTACATAGAGAAGATACCACGAAAACATCCACGTATAAAAGAACGCACTCTACAGACGACATATCGGAAATTGTTAAGGGCTGCTTATAAATCGCCACACAATACAGCTTTCGAAAGACGATCCTCACTAAAGAACAAAATTTTCGAGGGTAGGAAGGTTAAATTCGATACCGTTTTGTTCAACCCACGGCACTTCCGCGTCCCACAAAGGAAGTCCTTTGCGGAGGCGAGAAGAAGGCACAAACGGCCGGCGAACGTGGACGACGCCGCGTCCAGGAGGTTATTCACCCCCGGAAGCGAACCCCCTTTTGTAGACAAAATTGCCGGTCGGCCACAAACTAATTACTCCGCCTCCACGCACGGTTTTAATACAGGTCTCTCCCCGCCATCCCATCGCAACACTTTTGTTTTACAAGAAGGATGCATTAGCGTTTCTGGAACACGGAGATGATCAATTAAAATTTGAATTTTACTACGGGATTTCGCCCACAATTAAATTCGATGTCCTTTTGTAACGAAAGAGGGTTGAGACATGCTTTTCTCGTTTGAAATAAACCGCTTATTAAGGAGGCGTATTTTAAGGCGTATTAAGGAGGCCTCGTTTTGCATTGGGGATTGGAAAATTACAAATTCTAATACAATGCACAATTCCAATTAGGAAGAAAGCATAAGCGAGACAAGCTTTATGCTTTTATCAAACATGCTTTGTTAACGATCTATTACGAAAGAAAATAATTTTCCACACAATTTTGGGAGCAGATTCAAAGTTACCTTTTAAATGATCACCTATATAGTAACACATTTTTGTTACATACCAATTTTATAACATGGCACATCTTTTGAGTTTCGTGAAATAGCATGGTCTTCATGTAGTGTGTATACAAAGATACTAAAGCGAAGAATACTGTCCATTATGTAGAGAACACCTGAGGGTAGGCAACAGTCTGCAACTTAATACATATCTGCTG